GCCACACCTCTCTGTCCCAACCCCCTGGATTATAGGTGAAAAGAAATTTTAACTTCTAATAATCGGATGTACTGCCCAAATTCTTTATGATTTAGGAACCCCAATTAGTCTCCTTTCCTGTAAAGTCCTAGCTATTCACAGTGTGTTTTCACACGCCCACTTTTGCATGCCCAGCTCATGCTCAGGGATTCCTTTCTTCATGTGCCACTGATAAAAATCACAGGTGGCCCGATTTCATCACACATTTTCAAAGTGTTGACAATGACTCATCGATTGATTGGGAAGAGGGAACCCAAGCCCAGTGGCGTTGTTCTTTTTTATTTTACTTTGTTTTCTTTTCTACGGGAAGGTGGCTTTGTTCTTGCAAATGTCTAGGGAGTCTCCCAGCCCAGGGAAAGCTGAGTAGCAGTTGCAGATTTACCCTGCTGGACTCCAATGCATGAGGCGGCACAATGTTTATTCTCCTTAATTCAATTTTGGCTGTGAGTTCTCATTTACCTAGCCAGAAATTCAACCTCAGTCATATTTAGGGGCATCTCTCCTGCTCTCAGAATCAAACCAGAACATTCTGGAGAGAACCTCCAGTCTTCAAGCCCCTGTGGGGGCCTAGGTGGGGTGGGGCCAGGTGTCCATGCTGCACTGTAGAATCGGATATTGGGTCCCCTCCATGTCCCGTGGGAACTTCTGCTTCAATTCCCTGGCAGTGGGTTAGGGTCCTCTCCCCAAGCCCTCATAACACCCAGAGGACCCACCCCTCACTGAGAAGCCCTGCCCTCGGCCGACTCCTCATCCTCTGGACACTCCATTTCTTTTGCTACTTAAACTGAAGCCAAAAAGGTGCCCATCACCCTCCCCTGGGTGAGAGAAGGCAGAGGTCACACGACATCAATCCTGCCAAGTACCAGCTCGGTCAGGAGACCCCCACCCAGGCGGTGCTGAAGGTAATGAGAGGCAGATACCCAGATAGAACAGCAGAGTGGATCTATCCACAGGGGGCTGGCAGCCTATTGAGCTGAGAGGCTCAGGGGCTGACAGCATTCCAGGCTGAAGGCCCCGAGCAGATTCTGATCCGCGTATTTATTCTCTCTTAAACAGGTGATTCTTATTAATAAATAAGTGTTCTGTATTTACTCATAACTCAAAAATTACCAATTAGGCAGCTGTTAACCGCCTACCACTAATTGCAAATTAAAAGGTATTCTTCACAAGGGAGCTACGGGGGCCAGGTAAACTTAATGTTTCTCAACAGTAAACTTAATTTTTCTCAACACAACCCCTCACTGCTCTCAGGAGAAGCACCCCCTTCCTTCTGGAAGTGACTGAAAAATGAGGCCAGCCTCTCTGTCCAGTCCCCTGACAGTGGGTGCAGCTTTCCATAGCGAGCCTGAGAGTTTCTCAGTGACTTGATGAAGGGGGAGGAGCCCAGAGGTTTCCCTGATGAGCTGTGAAAGGACTTCCTGAGGGCACTGAGAGATTGAGCAAAAGGCAGACAGGGAGGAAGGGGAAACACCGGGTCCCCAGGGGGATGGCATCTGTACATCTGAGGCCCTGGAGGGCCCGGCCTCACGGTGACATGAGCATGTGTGGCTGTGACCCTGGAGTCCTGGATAGGGGTGAAGGCACCTAGGATGAAAGGACGTGGGTGGCGTGGGCTTCCGATGGACCCCTAATCTCCAGAAGATTAGCAGGGACATAGGTGGGGCACCGGAATCACACAGAAGAGTCCCTGGGATGGCAGCAGTGTTACTTTAAGGACACCATGGTCATGGTGGGGGCTGTGAATGGGAGGAGGGAGGAGCACCCCATCCTGGGCGAGGCCCATGCTGAACAATGAGTGTCACAGACTCAGGGACTCAGGTGTGTTTGTCTGTTCTCACACTGCTATGAAGAACTTCCCCAAGACTGGGTAATTTATAAAGGAAAGAGGTTTAATTGACTCACAGTTCTGCATGGCTGGGGAGACCTCAGGAAACTTACAATCATGGTGGAAGGAGAAGCAGACACATCCTTATTCACAAGGCCGCAGGAGGGAGAAGTTACAGCACAGAAAAACACTGCCACTTTTAAAACCATCTGATCTTGTGAGAACTCACTTATCATGAGAATAGCATGGGAGACATCTGCCCTCATGATCCAATCAGCTCCCTCCCTCAACCCATGAGGATTACAATTCAAGATGAGATTTGGGTGGGGACACAGCCAAACCATATAATCAGGGAAATATGGGGCGGGGAAGCCAGGAGAGAAGGGAGCAGGGAAGCAGGGAGGAGCAGGGAGACTCAGGCAGCACCACCGGGAGCTCAGGGAGGCAGCCTCCAGGCCATCACCTCGTCCTTGAGGGTACACCGCAGGGCACCAATAGTGCCCGCTACCTAGTCCTGTGGGGATGAGCACGTGGTTATGGGAATGGGCTGAATTGAAGGAATTAGAAAACCAAAATGGATTTCAAAATTTTTTTCTTTATTTCCATGCAGTTTTTATAAGTTCCTGTGACGTTAATGAAAGTATTGCAAGTTTCATTCATTCAAAAAATACATATGAACCTTCTCTTATGTATTATGTACCACTGTTAGGATTTTTTATCCATGTATTGAAAATATTTTTCCCAGTTTTGTTTGGCTTTCAATTTGTTCATGATGCTTTCTGATATGCTGGAATTTTATATTTTCTTATGATGAAATAGAACTTTCAAATAGAGCAATTTGTTTCATTGCTCAGTATCCCAAGAACTTAGGTATCCTGTTTATAAATGTTCAGTTGACCCATGTTTAAGGTCAACCCTTGCAGTCTTGCTGTGGGGGCCGGTGGGTCTTTCCCCAAGCTCCTACTTTCCCAGGGCCTGTTCGAGTTGAGCTGGGTGTTGTTGGGTGATGCAGCTCTGCTTGGGCAGATGGAAGGCAGCCTTTGGGTAGTGGGGGGATGGACACAGAAGCAGAAATAGCAAAGAAAAAATAAAACTGGCCTTGCAGACTCAGAGGCCTTGCTGATTGAGAATGGCTGGTTTTTGTCAGAAAAGAAACAAAACACCAGTGGCTGGGGAGTGTGAAGTCTGTGTAAGCTCATGGCTGGAGCTCGAGACATGAGACTGGGCCACTCAGGTCCGTGCTCAGGGACACCTGGCCCAGGCACTCCCTGTTGTTGGCTGTTGCCCAGGTTGTCAAGGCTGCCAACACCACTCCAGCCTTAAGCCTCAAGCTCAGTTTCATAAGCCTGGCCTCAGATGTTGATCTGGTAGGATTTGACCCTAACCAGATGCCAATTTTCAAACTGAAGATGGAGTTGTTATGACCAGGCTGGTTAGCCTCCAGAAAAAGTGTCCCCATAAGACTGACCCTGAGCCCATCCTTCCACTTCTTTCTAGGGACATGCTACACACTGGGGAAATGCTGAGAGCAGGGTGGGGGCAACGTGGCTCCTGGGTACTGGTGTGGCTTGGGGAGCCCTGTTCGGATGAGAAGGGCAGACATGATGGGGATGGGATGGGGAGGGTGCAGCTTTCTGGAAGGTCTGGATGGAAGACGGGTCATGAGGTCAAGAAAGGGTTCTGCTGGGTCAGCAAGGGACAGAGGGGCAGGTCATGGATGAGGAAGTCATTAGCAGAGAGGTGGGGGTGAAAACGGGAGTGACAGGTTCACAGAGCCATGTCCTGTGGCTGGAGCAGGGCAGGTGGGCCCAGCTGGGGCTTTGAAGACACCCTCCCTGGGCAGTTAGGGTCTTACCTGAGTGTCCTGGCATGCTTTCTCTTATCATTAAGTGCACTTATTTCATCTTGCAGAGTGAGGCTAATTTCGTGTTCTGGGGGAACTCACCCTCATCAAGTAGGTTTCCTTTAGTTTAACAAAATTAAAAAGCCCCAGGTGGTCACAGGTGTTGAAGACAAAAGAAAGTCACCCTGTCGCAGAGACTCACTGTATCCTGAACACCTGGATGGGGAGAAGGCGTGTGCATAGGGGAGATGAGTGTCACAGGTGTGGCAAAGCGGCACAGGGCACAGCGACGGGCAGGTCAGCCTCAGGTGGACAGGCCACACCCAGGATGCCTCACACGCACATGGCAACATCTCACACCTCAGAACGAGTGGAGGAGAAAATGGTGCTAGACAATTTGGAATCATTTAGAAATGAAAACCAATGCTATTTTCTAAAAATAAACATGTTTGTATCATTTCTCCATTAATTTGCTTCAGACTAGATACAACTTATTTCAAAATGCTTTAATTTATATATTTATATGTGCAACACATAATTATACCTGGAGTTTTTATCTTCATCTCAAGTACTTTGGTCAAATTCCTAGGCTCTTAAAGCTGATACTTACAGGAAAACGCTGGTTAAAGTACTTGCTATGCTGTACACAATAAATATGTTGAATTTTATCTGTCAAGCCAAAAAATTCATGTAATTGAAAAAGCACAATAAGATACCTGCTACAGTTCAAATGCTTCTGTCCCCTCGATCTGTAGTGCAAGCGTTGGCAGGTGAGGTCTCAAGGTAGGTGTTTAGATCAGGAGGAATCTGCCCTCGTGAATCAGTGCTGCCACACAAAGGGTCGTGAGGAGTGGGTTCACTCTCCTGCTCTTCTACTACGTGAGCACCCAGCCTTCCTGCCTCTGGAGGACCCAGCATTCCAGGTGCCATCCTGGAAGCAGAGAGCAGGCCTGACCTGCCAGCACCTCCATCTTGTTGTCCCCCGCCTGTAGAACTGTGAGAAGTAAGTTTGTGTTCTTTAAATGACCCAGTTTCAGGCATTCTGTTACAGCAGCACAAAACAGACAGGCGCATCACCCCTTAGGGAAGTCCTTGTGAGGCTCAGATCTGCACCTGTGAGGTTTTCTACAACAGGGCACATCATCACCAAAATATACTTTTAAATATAAAAAGAACTTATCAATTAACACTGTATTAATTTGGTGTCTTGGAGAATAGCATGATAATACAGAAATCATCTTAGCAAAAAAAACCAGCTGAAATTTTGTATAAAGATTAACTCAACACAAAAAATTAATATAAACAGATTTTAATGTTTCAATTAATTATACCCTGATCATAAATTATCTTTATTAAAGAATGCATGTTCTTCTGATTCAAAACCAAATATTTTAAGTGATACATCCAATAGAAATTGACATGAAAGTATTTTATTTAAAATAGTTATAATAAAAGGAAAATAGACATCCATATTTGTCTCATTTTAGAAAACATAGACTTTAAGAATCAAAAGTAAGCTTCCAAGCTGATTGCCAGGATTACAACTTCATATCACAGAGATGTTCAATAACAAATATTTGACCAACAGATTATAATTCTGAAGTTGTACATTTTTAAAAGCCTTCTAATTTTGCTTCATTACAAAAAAAAAAAAACACGAACTGATGAACTCACAATACAAAATCAATAATAATTTCAGCAAAAAAAAAAAAAAAAAGGCACATCCAGGCAACACATTAAAGGCGACTGGTAAAACGCAGCATCCCAGGTCTACTGCACATAATCAACTGACCCCAAATAAACTACTCTGGAAAATTCTAAAATAGAACGGGAATATTCTGTAAAAGCTGGGAAAACACGACTGCACTGATGCTTTGCTAGAGAGCTGTTCTGTTGCCAAGGTACAAGCTTCCCAGAAGGAGCAGCTGCCGGCCATCTACGTGCTTACTCCTCACAGGCTTCTCTTCCAAGGTCCATCATCTCCGTGCAGTCAGAGGCTGGACCGTCTCTCTGGTCTGGGCACACACCTAGTGATTGCAGCTCTCCACAGCACCGGGGCGAGTAAGAGGCTGAGTGTGGTCACACTCAGTATAAGGAGGTACACCTGTAACAGCAAAGTGCAGCGCGGGTCACAGAGAGCGTCAGGACTCACACCTGCAACAGGAAAGCACAGGGCTCACCTGCACCGGGGAAAGCTGAGCAGTCACGCTGAGTGGTGTGCTGAGGGACACCTGCACAGGGGTGGGGTGGTGGAGGCTGAGCGCAGTCATGCTGAGTGGTAGGGGGGGATGCCTGCATGGCAGGGGCAGGGATGACAGTGGGGGCTGAGTGCAGTCACTCTGAATGGTGGGAGGAACACCTGCATGGGGTTAGGGGTGGGGTGGTGGAGGCTGAGCGCGGTCACTCTGAGTGGTGGGAGGGACCCTGCACGGGGTGGGGAATGGGGGTGGAAGCTGAGCACGGGTTGCACTGAGTCCTGGGAGGGTCACCTGCACACCATAAATCCACTACTATTTCTTGAAAGCACATCGAAGCACAGCCAGAAGTTGAGGACACTGGGATGTAGGAGCAACTGTGATGTGAAGATCAATGGTGCAAGGTCAGTCCTGATGGGCCCCAGGGCAGCAGCCCTAGCCTGTGCTTGCCCGAGGCCAACCCTGGGACACAGCACAAGTCCGCCTGTCCCCCAGCTTCCCTGACCCTGGGAATGCAGCCTTGGGTCAGGCTCAGGAGAAGCTTCCTGTAAGCAATTCTACTTTTCAGCAATTACTTCCACTGCACATAACACCTGGCTTTCCACCCCCTCAAACTTACAAATGCAAGGAGACACGCCGTGAATCTGATGCCTAGGGCCATCTCAGTGATGACAGGAAGTCTGCCCAGCTCTCAGGGCACAGTGGCATTTCATGTTTCTGGCGATACTTGTGTGCACACTGGCAGTTCAGCTTTAAAAAGTTTTCTTTCAGAAGAAACATCTGACGCTTACTTAGAATTGTTGTAAAAGGTTAATGCAACAATTCAAGCAGTACTAACTGCAACTTTCCTCTGAAAACACCACATGTTAGATGAGCAGAGAGAAGCCAGGCCTCTGTGTGCCCACCAGGAGGAGGAACCTGGCCCAGCTTTGCCACGCCCAACTCAAACCCAAAGTGCAACCCCTGCAGCCCCAAGTGCTTGGCAGGGGGAAGCCACTCACCTCCCGAGAGATGATGCCGGCTCTTCGCGCCCGGCTCCCCAGGACAAAGGAAAACTCGCTGACCTGGGCGAGCCCTGCAGAGACGATCCACTTGATGTACTGGCTGCTCCTCGGCAGAATGAGAGACAGGACCAGTGCCGCCAGAAGAAACTGCAAGAGTGATTCATCACATCACTGCTAAAGATTGGACCTGCACAGAGTTAAACGCACACGAAACAGAGACCCCAGACAGAAACCACAGGGACGCCGTGATGGTCCCTGAATCACACGCAGAGTAGGGAAACACACTGAGGCACTCCAAATACCTGAAGGCACCAAACACAAAACATCTTAAATAATCCACACTGAACAAAAAGGCAAAATTAAGGGTTTAGGCTCATTAGTAGAAAATAAGCCTTGCTCCCCCATCAAGCCAAACGGGGGGGGGGAGGGGCAAGGGGGATGGTGACTAATAACATTAAGCATTATGGGGTATTCAAGATGGAAATTTCTTTTTAATACAGGGAGATGCATGTCTTTAGGCTGAGCCCTAAGAGCTGGTGGAGTGGCCCAACGATCCTCATATATTCTGGCTCCTTAAAATGGAAATGATCTAAATCTGTTTATGAGCCAGAACGTGGCTCTGACTAGGTCATCACACCTTAATGTGAACACAGACAGGCAGCTTGACGGCTGGTAGTCACGGAGGACAGAGAGAAAGCACCTACACCATCTTTAGGTCTGTAGAAGGCATGTCTGCATCTGTCAGAAGACGACGGGTTGGACTACAGCCAAGGCCCAACCTGAGGGTCCCAAAAGGTAGTTCCCCTCTTTAAAAATCCTCAATTCTGAAACAATCGATCACACGGACAAACCCAGATCACCCAGCCTAACCCACATCTGCCTCCCCCAGGGTCCAGCGGCCCAGCGGGCCTCCCCCGAGATGAGGGGCAGGGCCGGCTCCGCAGGCCTAATGTGTGCCCCGCTGGAAACCAGGGCCACGGGGAGGCCTGTGCTGGGCCTGCAAACTGTGAGGGGCGAGGATCCTACCAGTCCTTACCTTCATGACCACCACTGACAAGGTGAGGAATACCAGCACCGTGAGCTCATACGCCACAAAGGTGGGGAACACGTGGAGCCCTGTTGGGAACAGGACACGTTACTCATGACCACAGGACAGCCTCCCCCAATGTACACCCATTCCTCACAACTTCAGGTGTCATTTGCTTCAAATACAGGAATTAAAATCCTAAGTGCACTTGTGAAAGCACCAGCAAATGCTAAAAGGCTGTCCCTTTCTTACGGAGTGAACGGGAAAAGGCTGCCTCGGGGGAACCGTCTGACATGGTGGAATCCCAGCTCCACTCCCTCGTCAGGCCTCAACTGCAGAGAACACAGCAAAACACACAGAGGCGGCACTGTCTGTAATCTATGACAATCGGTGCTTGAGGAAATATTCCCGCTGAGCTCAGATGACCCCAGAGCCCACCAGCCCCCAGCGCCCAGGAGTGCCACACTCACAGGACATCTGTGGTCAGTGTTCCTTTCCCTTCTTCATTTGGCAGAATAAGGACGGGAAAAACAATGGGAAATGCTGTCCCTACGTACGTCTTCTCTCTGCTGTCAGGGCTCTCTAAAACCACGTGTGGCTGCCCACCGAGCCAGTGACGCAGAGGGGCCGGTGGTGCTGGGGCTGGGCCTGGGCTTGGGCTCAGCTCTCCAGCCACACCCTGGGGCCACCTGGCGATGCACATTGGCCCTTGGAGGAACCCTGGCAAGCCAGAGGCCTCCTCTGGATTGGAAGGATGCAGACCCATGACCTTTCTGCCGTTCACAAACCACTGTCTCTACCTGACCCAGAAACACAAATATAAACACTTTCCCTTTTTCTCTTTCCCCAACCTGGGGTTCTCTTGCGCTTCAGGGCCACTTTCTCCCGATGCCCCGTCTTCCAGCCATGGCCCCTCCTCCTGGGTGTGGGTCTCGGAGCTGCCCCCTCCATGCCCATTCTCGGCGCTCCCCACGGTCCCTCTAACCCTGATCACCAGCCTGGCCCCACTGTGTCCCCCTCAGGAGCCTCAGCCCCAGGGTAGCCTGGGGTCCCCATCCCTCTCTTCCCAGCTGTCTGCCAAACCCTGACCCCAGTCCTGCTTCCCTTCAGGACGTCTGTGCCTCTGCCCTGCTGCAAGGCTCCATCCAGGCTGCCTTTGGCCAGTGTTTAGGAGGTCACTACCATCACGGCCCTACGCCCACACTGGCACAAATGAGACAAGCTCACAACAGTGTTGGCACAGAGGATGCTCTCACCCCTCCCCAGAGGGACCCTCACACCGCAGCCACACAGGTACCCAGGGCTCCCCACCCTGGGGGCACCGGGCTGTATTTTCTCCCCACTGCTGCCCCGAGGAAAGCGCCTAAGCTTCCTGACCGCCACCCCTTCATCTCCAGCCCCACTGGCTTCCTTCCTGCTGGGGAATGTCCTGTTCTAGGGAGTCCGGGCTTCCCTCCCACCTCCCACCTCTGGGCTTCCACACCAGCCTCTTCCTCCCCAGCACGCCCTAAGCCTCCGCCTCTGCACCTGGCGCAGCCCTCACCCTGGCGGGCGGTGGGTGGCTGATGCCCTGGAGGCTCCTGTGCTCTTAGCTGAGCAGCTGTGTCCCTGCATCTGTCCCCCAACCCCACCCCTGGGCTGCAAGCTCCTTCAAGGCGGGGCTGCCTTGGGGACACGGCTCACTAGACCCTGCCTGAGCTCAGAGCTCCTGGTCTAGGGGCAGAGGGAGGTGTGGGGGTGGTGAGCCAAAAATTATGGAGCTAAATGCCTTCCGGTCAGTCCCCAAAACAGCAAGGAAAGTGAGAGTCAGTCAGTGTGGCTCTAGAGGCTGCGTAAATAAAATATGCCACGTGAGGCACGTGCCCAGCTCAGGGCTGTGCTAGGGACTCTGCACACACGCCAGGCCATGGCGTGAAGGTGAGTGAGGCTGGCAGGGGCGCACACTGTGTCCATCCGTCGTGGGGGGATGCCCACAGCACGGCAGCTCCCAGCGCTGTCCCAGAGACAGTGGTGCCTGCTTCTGATTGCTGACAATGTCATAACAAGACACACCAAATGTCTGACAGTCGGTAAAGCTGGAAGTGACCAGGAACTAGGATGGGGTGCTGGGCAGGCGTCTTCCACAAAGGCCAAGATGGAAAACACTTTGTACTTTCTGGGCCACGGCCACCTGCTGTGGCCTGAGCTGTGTCCTGCAAACTCCTACATTCAGGCTCCAGGCTCAGTGTGGCTGATCTGGAGACAGGGTCTGCAGGACCCACTGAAGCGGAAATGAGGCCATAAGCGTTGAGAACCGAATCTCTGCACAGACCACGGAGGGTGGGCCACAGATGACACAGCCAGGAGGCCCCATCTGTGGAGCAGGCACGGCCCTCGCCACATACCCGGATCTTGGACTTCCAGCCCCGACAGGTGTGAGTAAACAGCTACTGTTTGAGCCGCCCAGTCTGGAGTATTTTGCTGATGGCCTGAGCTAGTAAGCAGTACAACAGCAGCCACTGATAAAGAGTAAACGGGCAAGTGTGGCTGTCTCCAGAAAGCTTCATTTATAAAGGCAGGTGGAGAGCAGGCCTTGGGCCGCGGCTGGCCGAACCCTGGTCTAGTGGGAAGAGCCACGCTGCCACGTGCTATCCATGAAACCCCGGCCTTGCTCCGTGGCGCCTTCTGGGCCATCCTTCGGCACAGAAGCCCTTCCTCACTCCGGGCCTAAAGACTGCCCTTCCCCTTTCACACCCTTCAGATGCAGCCTCAACTCAGAAGCACAGTCTGGGCCTCACCCAGCAGGCAGGAGCCTCGGAGCTGGAACCCGAGAGTGGTGCCTGCCGGCCTGCCGCTGGCTGTGGCTGACCTGCAGCGGAGTCTCTGCGGCTGCGCAGGGCAGGCAGCCCAGACACATCTGCTGGAGCTGGGAGCTCCACCCCCGTTTCTGCCACCCGGAAGTGGACGTCAGGTCCCACACACACACACAAAGGTGCTGTCCAAAGTGGGCAGATGCCATCTATGTGCTGCCTGGACTGCAGAACAAAAATAAGGTCCTGGCCGAGTTAGAGACAAAAGGGGCTATAAGCAGGTTTCTCAGACGGAGGAAAAATTAGCTTGAATTCCCTGATATACAAAAAACTAGAGCAAAACCACGTAGAATTATTATGCGAATAGAAAGGATTCTCAATATAAAACAACCCTAGTTTGAAGATAATTAGGATAAACATGTCTGTGTAAACAACATATTTATGAAATTTTAGATTTTTAACAAGAGCAGCTCTCAAACATGCACGTGCAATGAAGCCGTGGCTGACCAGATACCGGGTTACACACCACGGCCAGCGCGACCTGGGGAAACACGGGAAAAATCAGGTCAGGCCTGATCCACTGTATTAGCCTTCATCTAAAATAAGTGAAAGGAAGGTCAGGAAATCCTAGTCCATCAGCAGTGGACCAGACACAGAAAATGTGGTACATATACATCCTGGAACATCAGCAACTGTAACAGTCCCACTGTCTATCAATAGTGGACCAGATACAGAAAATGTGGTATATGTACACATCGTGGAACATCAGCAACCATAATAGTCCGACTGTCCAACAGCAGTGGACCAGATACAGAAAATGTGGTATATACACACGTCGTGGAACATCAGCAACCATAATAATCCGACTGTCCATCAGCAGTGGACCAGACACAGAAAGTGTGGTACATACACATCGTGGTACATCAGCAACCGTAACAGTCCCACTGTCCATCAACAGTGGACCAGATACAGAAACTGTGGTACATACACATCGTGGAACATCAGCAACCGTAACAGTCCCACTGTCTATCAACAGTGGACCAGACACAGAAAATGTGGTATATATACACATCGTGGAACATCAGCAACCATAACAGTCCCACTGTCTATCAACAGTGGACCAGACACAGAAACTGTGGTATATATACACATCCTGGAACATCAGCAACCGTAACAGAATGAAATGACATCCTTTGCAGCAACACGGATGCAGCTGGAGGCCATTCTCCTAAGTGAATTAACACAAGAACAGAACACCAGATGCCACACGTTCTCACTTAAAAGTGGGAGCCAAACACCAAGTATATACGTGGACAAAGACGGGAACAAGAGACGCTGGGGCCTGTGAGGTGGAGGGCGGGAGGATGAGGGTGAGATTAAAAAACTACCTTGAGTACTATGCTTCTCACCTGGGAGACAAAACAGTCTGTATACCAACCCCCTGTGACACTCATTACCCATGTTACAAACCTACACATGTACCCCTGAATCTAAAGGAAAAGTTGGACAGAAGAAATAGTAAAATAAAATAAGATTTCTCTGCAGACTCTATCAAGTGGAAAATAGCTTCTGGCTGCTAGCAATCCAAACTGAAATATTCTGAAAACACTTAATTTTTAAGATAATCATTTTAGCTATATAAAATATGAATATATATGCACATCAACAAATTACAGAACCACTCTGCATGTGTTTAACAAACACAATTATGTAAAGAAGGAAGATTACCTATTGAGGCGAAGAAAATGATGGCCAGAAAGTCACGGATGGGTTCAATGGAGGCGGCGATCTCCTCGGTGACCACAGGGCCCTGAGAGGAGACCAGCGCTCCAGCCAGGAAACAGCCCAGCTCCATGGAGACGTCCAGCAGCTCCGTGACCTGAGAGAGGGAGGACTGAGCTTTACATGAGACCCCACAGTTCACCAGGGTTACCCCGTCCCAAGGACACCCCGAGACTTGGCAGAAACACCACAACAAAACACAGGAGCTGTGCAAATGGAGCGTGCCTTTGGTCCTGGGGCTCTGCTGGGTCTGACAGGTGACACGTGGAGGCTGCTATTAGTTGAATTTACCTTACTGGGCGAATAAAATTATTTTAAAATATTTGAAACAAATACCCATATCGATTGCTGTGAATTTTTTAAATGAGAATACTTTCCAATTGTTTTAAATATTTGTGATATATTTTCTTTACCCTGAATCAGAACAGCCTGGTGGTGGTTTTAGAAACTCATTCCCACTACCACTCTCAAAGCAGAGGGACAGCAACAGGCGACAAGCAAGGGCCCTGGGAGGGTGTGAAGCCAGAGAGTAGCATTGTGTGTCCGCAGCAGCTGATGTGAACACCTAGATACGCGGGCCGGACCAGGTGCCAGCTGGACAGCAAGGACACAGGAGCCTCAGCAGCTCCATGAAACGCAGGCTCAGGGCAGCCTTCTGTGAGGCACGGCTGATACCGGCCAACCTGAAAGATGATTTTTATTTTGAGAAAATAAAACTGTAGAAGACAGCAGCATCAGACAAAAAAAAAAGAAACCTGTAAAGAACTGTGATTTATAACAGCACCAAAAAATCACATCCTGAGGATTAAACCAAAGGACCTGCACCTGACACTGCAACACACTGCAAGACCCACGAAAGGCTGAGATAACAGTGTCGTGGGCTCAGCACTGCAGAGCGGTGGATTCTCCCACCTGGCTGACAGACACATGGGAACGCCAATAGACTTGTATGTGGGAAACTGACCAGCTGAATTTAAAAACTCAAGTGGAATTTGGAAAGAGTACGGATAGAGCCAAGATGACCCTGGCACAGAACAAAGCTGGGTCCAAACACAACCAGAGGTCAAGCTACAGTGCAGCTGAGGGCAGGTGGGCAGAGTCAGAGAAGCATGTGCACACACACGCATGCACATGTACCACAGGTACACACACCACACCAAGAACACAAACACCACACACATGCACACCACACATGCACGCCACAAAGCACACACTTATGCATGTACAAATGCCACACACATGCAGACGTACACACATCACATAAAGCATACCACACACGTACACATGCCACAAAGCAGACACACACGCAGACATGTACACACACCACAAAGCACACACATGCATGCAGACACACATCACATAAAGCATACCACACACACGTGCACATGCCACAAAGCACACACACATGCAGACACATACACCACACACAAGGCACACACATGCATGCAAATGTACACACATCACATAAAGCACACCACACACATGTACATATGTACACATGCCACAAAGCACACACACAGACATGTACAAGCACACACAAAGCACACACATGCATGCAGACATACATCACATAAAGAATACCACACACATGCACATGCCACAAAGCAAACACATGCAGACACATCCACACACCACACACAAAGCACACACATGCATGAAGACGTACACACATCACATAAAGCATATCACACACATGTACAGATGCTGCAAAGCACAAATACACGCAGACACTTCCACACACCACACCCAAAGCACACACATGTACATATGCCATGCACAAAGCACAGTATACATACACAAAACACATGCATGCACACCACACGTATACATGCGATGAAAGACATGTGTGCACACATATACTACACACATGCCACACATGTACATGCCACACAGCACACATAGTACACCACACAAAGCACAGGCATGCACACATATACACATGCCATAAAGCACACACATGTGCATACCTCATACACAAAGAACACACACGTACTCCACAAGAACACATGTCACACACACACACACAGCTAGTTTTTGACAGAGTGATGCTATAGAACAGGGGGCAAGAGGTCTTTTCAACGCATGGCATTCAGAAAGGCATGCAAATGAAAGAATCTTCATCCACTTCCTCACTTCCAACACAACAAAACTCATCTCTGGATGGACTGCAAAGCTAATGAGGAAAGCACAGCAGAAGCCCACAGACAACAGTGAAGAGCACCTTCGTGACCCAGGGGCAGGTGGATCTTTCACACAGAGCACAGAGACAGCCACAAAGAAAACAATCCATAACTGGATGACACTGAAATTCAGAACTTGTGTTCATCAAAAGACACCATTAAGAGAGTGAAAAGGCAAGTCACAAACTGCGAGACATCTGCAAAACACACCTGACGTGGAATGTTTTTCAGCCATAAAAGGGATGAAGTGCTGGTGCACACCGCAACAGCAGCCAGGCCTGGAGGACGTGACGCTGAGTGGAAGCCAGGCACGGACGCCCCCACGTGACGTGCCCAGAAGCAGCAGCCCACAGGGCCGGGAAGGGATCCATGGCCACTTGCACAGGGCCACGAGGGGACTGGGGGAGAACTGAAAGCTATGGGGATTCCTTTGGGGAGGTGGATATAATCGGATAGTGGTGATCGTGTCAGAGCATTTTGAATATTGACTTTCAAATGATTAATATGGTGAATTTTATGTGAATTTCATCTCAATAAAAAAGTCTATCTGCCTGCGCATATATATATATATATATCCCATAATGAGTAAGAAAGTCCTCACCCTACAAAAGAACAACCTAGAGAGGCTTTAATAGGCACACCACAAGGAACACACTCAGATGCCACTGAGCCGCTGAAAGGGCTGGAGGGACAGGCCATCAGGAAGTGAGCGCGGGAGTCCCTGTCACAGCCCTGAGATGCTCTACACCTGGGGCAAGTGCGGGGAGGCCGAGG